GGACATGGGCAAGTTCTGCCTCACCTACGAGGCCTCCATGACCCGGCTGTTCCGGGAGGGGAGGACCGAGACCGTGCGCTCCTGCACCATGGAGTCCTGCAGCTTCGTGCTGGCCATGGCAGACCCCACGCAGACGGTATGGTGCCACGAGCCGAGCTGCACGCCGTGCGGCCTCACGCAGGGAGCCCGCGCGCCACACGGGGCCTGTGCGGTTTCCTCACCCGCCCTCTCCCCTCGGCTTCCCCCCCCAGCCGCCCCCGCTTCTCTTTCCTCCCCTGGCTTCTCCTTCCCTCCAACTTCTTCCCCCCGTGCGGCAGGTGGAGCAGAGGCTCAGGCTGTTCAAGCTGGCGTCCGAGAAACATCAGCAGCTCTACCGTCTGGCCATGACGGGCGCGGGCATCGACCGCCATCTCTTCTGCCTTTACGTCGTGTCCAAATACCTGGCCGTGGACTCCCCCTTCCTGAAGGAGGTACGTGGCCCTCGCCCAGTGGGCAGGGGTCTCCGTGCGTTGCTCCTGCCCCGCCAGTCCCGTGGGCGTCCGGCGTGGCTGTGGCGTGGGAGGCGGTGCCGGAGGACTAACCTCCCGGCCTACGGGCACGAGCGCTTAGGCAGCGCTCCAGTGCGCTCAGACACCCGCACCTCATTTTGCTGTGTATGTGCCCGTACCAGGGCTTGAACTACTCAAGACCACAAACTCTCACTTGGCTTTTTCTCCTCAAGGCTGGCACTCTACCACTTGAGCCATAGCGCCATTTTGGCTTGTTGCTGGTTTTTAATTGAGCCTCTCTGTCAAGACTGGCTTTGAACCATCATCCTCCACACTCAGCCTCCTGTGCAGCTAGGGTTACAAGGTGGGCCACCAGAGCTCAGCCTACCTTTGTTTTAAATATGATTTCAATGGGGAGTTTATAGACTTTATGAATGGATGTGTGTTAGATTGCTCAACCTTCCTCCTCCTCCTGCCTTCCAAGGGGCTGAGACTATAGGCATACACTACCACACTCAGCCTCATTCAACAATTAGAAAATTTGCTCGGCCCTGGTGGCTCCCACCTGTGATCCTAGCTAGGCAGGAGGCTGAGATCACAGGATCTGGCGCCATTCCCCAGCTCGCCGCATGCTCTATCTGGTGGCACACTCATCTTGGAGCCCCTTTCCTGCCTGCTCCTTCTCGGAGCCAGCATTGTCCTCAGGGACAAAGACTCAGGGTGTCCAAAGCAGCAGCCTGGAGGACAGGGTGGGGAGAAGAGCCACTTGAACCTCGCCTCGTTCCCGTCCAGGTGCTGTCTGAGCCTTGGAGGCTGTCGACCAGCCAGACCCCTCACCAGCAGGTGGAGCTGTTTGACCTGGTGAACAACCCGCACTACGTGTCTGGCGGTGGGGGCTTCGGGCCGGTGAGTGGTATGGTGCCAGCCGGGCTCTGAGGGCCGCTGGGTCCTGAGGCATTGCTGCTGGCATGCGTGGCGGGGGCCGGTTGTCTTCTGTCCCTCCCAGCATCAGCCAGGCTGTCTCTTGTCTGCCTGCAGGTTGCTGATGACGGCTACGGTGTGTCCTACATCATAATGGGCGATAACTACATCCACTTCCACATCTCCTCCAAGCTGTCCAGCCCCGAGACGGTGAGGGAGGAGGAAATCCCTTCTCTTCTTGTGTTTTATGTTGTGCTGGTACCAGGGCTTGAACTCAGGGCCCTTGCATTTTTGCTTGGCTTTTTTTTTTTTTTTTTGGGTCCGGTCGTGGAGCCTGAACTCTGGGCCTGGGTGCTGTCCCTCAGCTCTTCAGCTCAAGGCTAGCACTCTACCACTTGAGCCACAGCGCCACTTCCGGCTTTTTTCTTTTTGCTTATGTGGTGCTGAGGAATTGAACCCAGGGCCTCAGGCATGCAAGGCAAGCGCTCTAGAGCCACCTTCCCAGCCCTTTGCTTGGCTTTTTCATTCAAAGCTGGTGCTCTGTCACTTGAAACACAACTGCGCTTGCAACTTTTTGCAAGTTAATTGGAGATTAGAGTCTCATGGACTTTTCTGCCCAGGTTGGCTTCAAACTACCATCCTCAGATCTCAGCCTCCTGAGTAGTCAGGATGACAGGCGGGAGCCCGCTGGCAGCTGGCTTTCACTTGGCTTTAAAGACGTAGATTTAGTTCCACATGCCTGCCTTTGCTGTAGCAGCAGTTTTAAACCTAAATGCGCACATGCATCCATGGCTTTCTAAACCTGTGACATTGGGAAGACAGACCCTGGATCTCGTGGCGGAGCAGGTGGCCTCCCGCCTTGCATGCACATTTAATTCATACTTTATTTATGGACCTATCTTTTCTTCTTCTTCCCACATTGTCTATCTCTTGACAAGTAATGCCAAAGTTTGCAGGGTTTTTTTCCATTTTATTTTACTGTATTGTATTTTATTGTAAAAGGTGATGTTATAGCGTGGTTACACAGGTCAGGTAATGAGTACATTTCTTGTGGAACATTGTTACCCCTCATTTTCTCCTACTTCCACTCCCCTGTCTATCCTCCACCCAGTTTTTTGTTTTACAAAAAGGACAGGAGTTTAGGCTGGCTACGTGTTCATGTAGTAGAATGCCTCCCTAGTGAGTGCAAGACTTTGAGTTCAAATCTTGGTCACACACACACACACGCACACGCACTCTCTCTCTCTCTCTCTGTGTGTGCTGTGGCCCATGCCTGCCGTCCTACTTGAGAAGCTGAGATTGGGGGAGTTCATGATATTGGGCAGCCGGGGCAAAGAGTTAGTGAAACCCTACCTCAAGTGGTGACAGCTGCGGCGGGTGCCGAGTGCCCGTCTTCCCTGCCACCGTGGACGCAGAGTAAATAGAGAACTTTGGTTCCGCCTGGCCTGAGCATAAATGTGAGGCCCTGTTATAAAAACAAAAAGCCGGGCATTGGTGGCTCACGCCTATAACCATAGCTTCTCAGAAGGCTGAGAGCTGAGGATCGCAGTTCAAAACCAGCCCAGGCAGGAAAGTCTGTGAGACTCTTACCTCAAAGTAACCACCAGAAAACAGGAAGTGGCACTGTGTCTCAAAGTGATAGAGCACTAGCCTTGAGCAAAAGAACTCATGGACAGCACCCAGGCCCCGAGTTCAAGCCCCATGACCAACAAAACAACAATAAGACCCAGACTCTGAAATTGAAACCCCTTTGTACATTTAAGATAACTAAATAAACCCTGCACCAAAAGGGGCTGGAGGTGCAGCATGAGTGTTCTCTAGTTCCTGCCTAGCATAAGGCCCGGAGATCCAACCCCATTTCCTCCAAAAAGAGAATGGAATTTATCCTAGATGCAGAATTTTGTGGGAGGGGCTTAGAGAACGGGTGGAGGGGAGGAGCTCACCGCTAAACACAGACAGGCAACATTCCTAAAGAAACTCTTCTGGTCCTTGGGAGGCTGAGGTGGGAGGATTGCAAATTGGAGCCTCAGCTACACATCAAAAACATGCAACCACAAAAAAGTCCAACACAAAAACTAGTTGTTGATTGAGTGACATGCCGCGTACCTGTGGGCAGCTCAGCCTGCTCTGAGGGACAAGTCCCTCTCCTGGTGTCAGGCCAGGGTCCTCGTGGGTCCTCGGGCAGGAACTGACCCAGACTGCTCATCTTAGTGGGGACCGGAGCACCCAGACTCCTGAGAACCCCGGATCTGCCTGTGGCTTGCTGCTTTCAGAGCGGACAGTGCCCACATTGTAGCCACGGGAGCCACCAGGTGTGCAGGCGGCTGGGGGCTGGGATCTGTTGAGGGGTGAGAGCCGCAGTGACCTGCGCGGGAGCTCTGCGCACGTGGGCAGCCAGGGTTCTAGAGATGGCCCCAACCCTTCCCCAGCCCCCATCGGCATCTCCTGTCCCCTCCGTTACTTCTCGCTCTTGAATCTGCAGGCCAGGTTCTGGAGCATGTGCATAAGAAACTGCTAGTCGGGCGTTGCTGGCAGCTTGGAGGTTTAGGTTCACGTGGGGCAGCCTGGGTAGGGTCACAGAGGTCAAGGTCAGGTACAAGGCGGGTACCTCCGTGCATCGTGGGCAGCTCAGACAGGGCCAAGTTCACAGGTGACAGAGCACATGGAATCTGGGGTTCAAACCCACAGGTCACTGTGAGGTCTCACTCCCCCTCCCCCATAGGGTCTCACGCAGCTTTGCCAGCACTAGCCTCAGGCTGCAATCCTCCTGTCTCCACCTTCCCAGTGGCTGGAGATTGCAGGTGTGCAGCACCGCGCCAGCCTGGATTTCTGCATCTTGATGTGTTTTTGCTTTCTGTGTTTAAACCAGGATTCTCACCGCTTTGCAAAGCACCTGGGAGAAGCCATGACAGACATCCTCAACTTGTTTGGGCTCACACCTAATTCCACAAAGTAATCCCACTAGGCCACGGCGAGGGGACACTGCGTGGCCTCCACCAAATGAAGAGTAGGCATCATCCTGATCCTAGCTCGGGATGAAAAACACAAAAACTTCTCCTTCCAGAAAGCGTTGGCCGTCTCTCCCTCGCATGGGAGTCCCACTGTGCGAAGCGCAGCCCTCCTACTCCAGGGGCATCCCGAGGCCGGCATGGGCTCGTCCTTAGTAGGGCTGCAGCTTCGCACACAGAGGGAGCAGACGCTGCTGGTGTCGGCGGTGCTCTCAGCGCTGCCCACGGCGGGGCGCTCACGAGATCCGTCCTTCCCAGCCCGTGCCACCATCCATCCACCTTTGCCATGTTTGGAACAAGCGGTGGCCATGTCTGTCCAGTTACTGATCCTGCACATTTTCAGAACCCAGTGCCTTAAAGACTGAGGCGGCGTGGCGTGAGGTCTTCGGTGGGGCCGTGGCGGGGCGGGGGTGGGAGGGGTCCTGCTCCTTTCTCCTACCCTAGAGGGCCAGGTCCCTCGTGGGGACAGCGCTGCTGGCAGCCAGACACAGGACAGACATGTGTCCGGCGTCCAGGACACACAGGCTGGGGGCCTGGCTTTGGGATTGGTGCCGTGGGTGCATGCCACAGGGCTGGTGTGACGATGGCCAAGAACTTGAGGGCGCAGGGCACTGACAGGGCACCTGGTCCATGGCGGCCGCCCTCATGTCTCCGTGGTGGGGCCAGTGGCGGTAACATGGTAGTGACGTGTCCCCGGTCGGTCGTAGTGACTGGTGCTAGGCCCGCAGCTCCCTGTCCCAGGAGTGCCTTTCGCCAGCAGGCCTGAGTGGCCACGGGGCAAGCCACGCACTGAGTCCCCTTCAGTATTCCATGTCGCCCCCGGCTCCCATCACAGGGACATCCCCAGGGCGCCGGCCCGTGGTGACACGCTTCGCTGGCCTCTTCGTAAGTGGTGTATTTATTTTTCCCAGCCCTGGCCTGGTCCTCGCCAGCTTCGTCCCTCGTTGCTTCCACAGTTGCAGGAAGTGAGAGATGCGTGTGTCTTGGGGACAGCAGTGTGGTAAAACTCAGCCCCAAAGGCCCAAAGATCCTCTTGCTCTCAAAAGCAAGGATGAAAACAAAAGGCAACACTGAGAAACCCCGGCAGCAGCGACGCCCCACGCCTGGTCCTGTGTGGTGGACGTCCAGGCAGGGTGTGGGGGAAATGGCCCCCCTGTGCCCCGGGAGAGGCGGCAGCCAGCGGGACACCTCATCAGAGCCACAAGTCAGGCGCTGGTGGCCACTGGCCGATCTGCCCGCGTGTGCAGGCCAGGCTGCGCTTCTCTCGGGTTTGATGCCCCCAGCGTCTCCGTGGCTGACCTCGCAGTTATCAATGCAATTTTCTATTCCTTAAGAGGGAGAGTGGGTTTTTATTGTATATGTGGGAAGGGGGAGGTAAGAATATCATGTATTTTAATTTGGAACAAACTAGTCTTACTGCAGCCCTGGCTTGAATTCACTACCTTAATTGGTCCATCGCATGTAAATACCATGTGCTCTTCTGGTATAAGTCTTAGAAACGCGCACTGTGAGTAGGCAACCCTTAATAAAGCACCGTCTGTCTACTATGTTACTGTTCTGGGCGCCTTTGTTAGGGACCAGCCTCCAATCAGGAGGAGAACTATTAAAGGGAGGGGGGAACCTGTGGACTGTTAACTTGTATCACTCACCTTCCTCCCTCCAGTGCCTGGCACATAGTAGGTGCCTAATAAACAGTGCTGCTGTATCTTAGTCATTTGACTTACTTAGTCTGTCTCCTTCCCCACCCCCAGGCTTCAGGGTGGTTAGGAAAGCACTATGACTTGGAGCCATGCCTCCAGCCGGTGTGTGTGTGTGTGTGCGTGCGCGCGTGTGTGCGAGCATGCCTCCAGCCGGTGTGTGTGTGTGTGTGTGCGCGCGCTCGCACTCACGCGTACATTCTGTCTTAAACTCAAGGCCTAGGTGCTGTCTCTGAGTTTTGCTCAAGGTTAGTGTTTTACCACTTGAGCCACAGCTCCACTTCCAACCTCAGCTGGCTTAGAACTACAATCCTCAGCCTCCTGAGTATCTAAGATTACAGGTGTGAGCCATCATTGTCTGCCTTGTGCTAGCTATTTTTGATAGGGTCGCATGGTCCAGCCTGGACTGTGATTCTCCTATTCTTTGATTCCCACCATCTACCATCGCTGGGATAACAGGCATGCAGCACTACTCTCAGTTTCTTCCATGGAAATTGACTTTTTCTTTTTTGGGGGGGGGGTCGGGTCGTGGGGCCTGAACTCTGGGCCTGGGTGCTGTCCCTCAGCTCTTCAGCTCAAGGCTAGCGCTCTACCACTTGAGCCACAGCGCCACTTCCGGCTTTTTTCTTTTTGCTTATGTGGTGCTGAGGAATCGAACCCAGGGCCTCAGGCATGCAAGGCAAGCACTCTACCACTGAGCCACCTTCCCAGCCCCCTTTTTTTTCTTTTTCCTTGATGCTAGTCCTGGGGCTTGAACTCAGGGCCTGGGTACTGTCTCTGACCTTTTTGCTCAAGGTTAGCACTCTACCACTTGAGCCACAGTTCCACTTCTGGCTTGTTGGTGGTTAGTTGGAGATCAGAGTCTCATGGATGTTCCTGCTTGGGCTAGCTTTGAACCTTGATTCTCAGATCTCAGCCTCCTGAGTAGCTAGTGTTACAGATGTGAGTCACCGGTACCCAGCAGAAATGAATGTTTATGCCCCAGCTGGCCTTGAATTGTGATCCTCCCAATCTCAGCCTCCCATCCAGCTGCTATAACAAGTGTAAACCACCCTCCCCCAGCTATAGATGGAGATAGGCTCCTTAACTTTTTTATTTGTCTAGGCTAGTCTCAAAAGAGTTCAAGGCTAGACCAGGCAAAGTTTGGTGAAGACCCTTTCTCAAAAACAATAGAGAGCCGGGCGCTGGTGGCTCACGCCTGTAATCCTAGCTACTCAGGAGGCTGAGATCTGAGGATCGTGGTTCAAAGCCAGCCCGGGCAGGAGAGACCGTGAGACTCCTATCTCCAATAAACCACCAGAAAACCGGAAGTGGCGCTGTAGCTCAAGTGGTAGAGCGCTCACCTTGAGCTGAAGAGCTGAGGGACAGCGCCCAGGCCCAGAGTTCAAGCCCCACGACCGACAAAAAAAAATAGAGAACGGCTAGGAGTATGGCTCAAGTGACCTTGAGTCTATCGTTATCACTACAAAACAAAACCCTAAGAGAAAAGCTCAAAGGTCAAGGAAGGAGTTTGTCTAGTCCTGCTTTGGTCTCTGGGGGCTTCAGTTTCCCCACCCTAAGCAGGAGCAGCGTTCTTCATCTTCACCCTGTAAGGCTACACCCCTTCCTCCAGCCCCGCCCCATGAGCATCGTGCTTCTACACAGCCCCACTCACGAATCCTGGCCCTGCCTCCGTCCTCCCGGCTCCTCCCACCAATGATTCCCTGCCCCGCCTCTTCCCTTCTCCAACCCTGGAAGACCCCGCCCCTTCACCAGGCTCCTCCCGCCACTGCTTCCTGCCCCGCCCCTTCCCTTCTCCAGGCTCCTCCCACCAGACTCCCTGGCCCTGCCTCTACCCTGGAAGACTCCGCCCCTTCTCCAGGCTCCTCTCACCAATGGTTCCCTGTTCTGACACAGGCTCCGCCCCTTCCTTCTCCAGGCCCCTTGGCCACCGATTCTCTGTCCCCGCCCCCATCCCGTGCCAAGGCCCCGCCCATTCCAACCGTCGACGGTCGGTCGTCCAGTCGGGCTGCCCTGCCTGGCCACAGCGTTGACACAGCTGCAGCCGGTCGGCCAGGTGCGTCCCTGCAGCGGCCCGGGAGGCCCAGGTGTGGCTCCGAGGCGGCCCCGGTGTCCGCTGAGCGACCCAGGGCCCGTCCATCCCCTGAGGCGGCCCGCTGTCCTAGCCCGAGTGCCTTGAGGAGACCCAGGTGTCCGCTCGGGGCCCCGGAGCCCGGAGGCGGCCCCCCATCCCAGTTCCGGAGCCCGGAGGCGCCCCCAACCCGGCC